AAACTGATGCTTTAATACCCTCCTTAAACACTTTTGATCACTTACGATTGTTCGCACGTCTTCGTGGTATACCAAAGTCCAACGTAGAGTTGGAAGTTAATAAATGGATTACTAGACTAAGTAAGGGTGAAATGCAAATAATAAATGCAGAATAAAACAGAGTACATGTAAAAATAGTGCATGAGATAAATTTAAATGTGCGAATGTGTTGTTTCAGATTTAACTGCTTGCATGAATCAGTCAAGCGGTACTTACAGCGGCGGTAATAAGAGACGCTTAAATATCGCAATGGCTCTCATTGGTAATCCTACCCTTGTTCTCCTGGATGAACCTACTACTGGTGTCGACCCTGCAGCTAGAAGATCGCTTTGGAATACTTTGCAGTCCTGTCAGGCAGCTGGACAAGCTATTATATTAACGTCTCACAGGTCTCTTTTAAAGTCCAAATATTTGAAATAAAATATTTGCATTATATTCTAATTCATTTTGTTGAATGAAATATTAAAATTATATTGTTCGACAGCATGGAAGAGTGCGAAGCACTTTGTAATCGACTAGTTATCATGGTGAGAGGTGAATTAGTCTGCATTGGTGCATGTCAAGAATTGAAGCAGCGATTTGGAGCAGGTTACAATATTCATGTAAAATTAAATCCATCCCGAACGGATGAGGATGTTAATAATATTAAGAAAGTTATTAAGTCTACTCTAATATGCGATATTAGAGACGAAAATTTGGTAACGATTTTGCTTCGCTTAGATAACAACAATTAATTGTTTTAATTTATTTTTTATTTTACTCTTAATTTTTATTCATTTTTTTACAGGGTTTTCTTGACTATCATGTAACTAATTGTAATACAACATGGGAAAAAATGTTTAATACAATGAAGAGTTTGAAGCAAAAATATAGTTGCATTGAGGATTACGCTGTCTTATCTGCAACTCTGGAACAGCTCTTTATTCAGTTTGCAAGAGAAGCTGAAATGATCTGATAAACCTCCGACTGATGTTACTAGTCATGAAGAAACAGTATAAATTGCATGCGTCTTATTAGATACCGAAATATATTTAAAATTATATGTACTAGATGAAAATTGAATTAATGGGAATTAATTTATATTACAAGTTGTAGATTAAAAATGCATTTAATTATATCATAATTTTATCTGACACAATTATTAATACACATATTATAGTATACACATATTTAATGTCGTTATTAGAAATTGCTTTTAAATTGTTGCAACAAAAATAATTACAATAATATATATGTATATATAAACGTATATATAATGTATACATTTTATTTAATAGACTATTTAGTAGGTATGAAAGAATAATATTAGAAATTTAGGCTACAGTATTAAGATTTTATTATAATTTATATGTATATGTAAAATTATTTACACAAATATATTCACAGCATTAATTCATCATTTATTTATTTATTTATTCAAAGACACAACATACATCTCAAAATTAATAAATAATAAACGCATTAAAAATAATGCGTGATATATATTACAGTTATTAAGTTCTCAATTAGACAATATCATGCCATGTATATATGTATTTGATGAGCATATATTGATATATTTCATAATGTTGATAACGTCCAAAAGGGGCTTGAATATCGATCAGGAATGTAAAGACAAAAACGATTTCAAGAAAAGAAAAAATTAAAGATTGGGCATTTCATAAATAAATCATGTTATTTTGTATATAAAGAACCGTTCATATATTACGTAAGCATACTTTTGGCCATTTTTGACCCCCCCCCCCGGCCCTCATGTGAGCAAATGTCAGAATTTCTGAACCTCCCCCCCCCTCCCTCAATTACGTAAGATTATCCCAATTATGCTCAATGTAAAGTTAATATTGCTCGTTTTTTTATGACAACAGCAGACATGAAAAATCTTACGTAAAGATATGTACGACCCCCTCTCCTTCCCCATATAATTATTTGTCAGAATTTGACTAACCCCCCCACTCCCAGTCATGCTTATGTAATATATGAACGGCACCTAAATAAAAAATTTGCATAAATAATATATCGATATGTACATAGAACGGATAAACGGAAAATGGTATAAATGCCTGTGCACGGAATACACGTAAATGATCCTCGTCAATCCACTGTCTAATACTGGTAGCCACTGCTTGAACTTCCGCTCTGGTACGAATCCTGATACGCACTGTCTCCATGTCCATTGTGACCTGATAATGAGACAACTCGATCAGCAGTAAATCATACGTAAGATATTAATATGCACAATTATATACATACATAACAATTATATACAACATAAAACGTTCGTTTATATTTGATTCAAAACTCTATGTAACACACCTCCGCTGTCCCCTTCATGCGAATATTTTCCACTACCGCCGTTCTGATTCTCTCTCCTGGCTTCGGCGGCGAGCGCCAATTCAGCCTCGTTGAATTTCCGGTAATATTGGAGACGGTATCGGCAAGTGAGAGCCTTGAGGATGAAAGCCATATTCGTCCACCGTATACGTGATCGAGTATTGCACACCATCGGGCCAAGTATAAGAAAAGAATTCGCACATCGCTTCAGATTCTCCTGCAACACCGGCACGCACTTGACGCAATGTTTTCATTGTCACAGAACGCATCGCGTTGCGACACACGGCACTTCCATCGACACTTTCAGATGCGAATATTGTTTAGCTATCGCTCGTTAAAAAATCAAATCCTAATAGGATTTAATACTGCCATATCAAAAAAATACAACCGTTTCAGCAATCATTAATAATTGTTAGATTGGACGAACTTACCAGTGAAGTCCGATCCTAATTATGCCCTTTGTCTCGTCCGGATGGAAATTATGTAGTTGTGGTCGTGCACGTACCTTGACAACAGATTTTAAAGTACTGTCAAAAATTAAAAACGGCGGTGTAACGCTGGGCGCTGGCCCGCGCCTCCTACGTTCCCGCGCGCTGCGCAACGCCTCTCATGAGTTCAAAATTTCGAGGCAAAGCGCTATCTCTAGGGAGGTGAAAGAAAGGGTGGGGAGATCCATCCGGACGAGACAAAGGGCATAATTAGGATCGGACTTCACTGGTAAGTTCGTCCAATCTAACAATTATGTCTATAGGTATGTCTCGTCCGGATGGAAACTATGTAGATGTTCAAATCAGCGATTTGCCGCAGAACATAATGACTGGAAGTATGGGAACAATATATTAACATTGTTGGGACCATTTTAACATTGCGCATATAAAAGAAAATTATGTGATACATAAGATGTGTTACATAAATTAATAGTAATAAACTAAAAATAATAGGCTTATTGTAATTCCTTTTTTTTTGGATGAACTCGGGTAAATCTACCGGAACAAATCTTATTAGATTGCTTAGGGTTAGAAAAGATATTAATCCACCATGTAAAGTCCTTCTGGAGATGAGAAGGAATTTCCATCATTGCTGAGTAATCTTCGTTGCATTCAGTAAGAGACAAAAATTTTTCTCTTTCAAAGGCCTTAGTGTATAGGAGTCCATACTAGACCGCTGGGCATACTGAAATGAGAGATCCAATTAAATTGGCGAACTCTCTTATGGAACACCTTACCCGGTTAGCCATGTTCTTCGTAAGGCCTAGTAACTTTTCCCAACGATGAGGAGGGATCGAAATTGATTGTTCGTTGGAGTCAAAAATAAAGCCTAAATACTTGCATCTGGACGATGATTCAACGTAATAACTTCGTATAGCATACAACTGAGTCGACAAAGGCACACA